GCCATCATGCCGGGCCCCTCCCAGTGGCCGCGCTCCTCCTCATAAGTCTCGCCGTCCTCCTGGGCCGCCCCTACGGCGACGTCCACGTCCAGCTTTTCGTCTGGCGCCTGAATCCACACGGTTTCGCGCTCAGCTCCACCATCGGGATGGACTCGCCAAGCGTTTTCGCCTGGCCTGTCAGGCACCTCACCATGCGAGCTGCGCACGACGAGCCCGCGTCCAGGTTGATTCCTTCGATCCACAGCGCCGCGTCCTTCTTGTAACGTTGCCGCCGCCCTGGAGATCCATCCCACGTTGGAATCCCCTCCACGCCGCGACTCGTCCACTGCGGCGCCTGAACCCAGCTTGTCGAGGATCGCATATATCACGATGATATTCCTCCTCCTCCTCCTCCTCGTCCTCCTCTTCCGCCTCTCCTCGGCGGAAGGGCATCAGGGTTGAGCACGCATGCGCCCATCGCTGGATGTCGCCCTGGAGACGACGCGTGCCGCATCGCCCCCGTCGTCGTAGTCCGTCTCCTCGTCCTGCTCGTAGTAGAACTTCCTCACCACACAGCCTCGTTGCTGTCGCTGCCGCACAACTGGCGCACCAACAAGCGCCCCGCTACCACTGCGGAGCCGGGGAGATTCAGAGCCTCGCTCCCCCGGAACGGCAGCGGGGTCCGGCGGCGGAACCCGGCAGGGGGAGCAAGGGCGGCCCTGTTTTGTCCCTCGGCGCACGCGTTTGTATGCCAAAATGTTCTCAAGCCGGCTCGAACCGAGCCGGCGGCAGCAGGCGAGAGGGGAAAAGAAGGGAGAAGGGCACGATAAGAGGGTGAGCAGGGGTCAGATCCACCAGAAGCCCGTCGCGTTTCACACTCCTTGGCCGTCCAGTGGCCGATGTTCTGGAGGAGCACGGATTTAGATTTGCAGGTCTTCCCGCGGCACTGGGCGCTCTCCCCAGCACTTCCTGGGCCACCTTCGAAGCCGTCGTCTACTTTGGTCGGGGGTCCTCTGACCCGGGTCAATCCAAACCCAGGTCAGTCAGGCCTTGCAGAATCCTGCAAAATCCTGCAAGATCCTGCACCCAAACCCGGGTCAATGCGAAGGATCCTGCAAGATCCTGCAGGATCCTGCACCCAAACCCGGGTCAATGCGGCCCTGGCCCTGCAGGATCCTGCAAGGTCGGGGCGCTCTGGCTGACCCCCGTTTGCGTTGACCCCCGTCTCAAGGCTCCCGATTTGGGCTGGCTCTACTCCACTCCGGGGGCCAGCCAAGACAACCCTTCGGACCCCGAAGCCGGGAGGCCTTCCCGGCTGCGTGGCCTGTCCGACCCCGGGCCTCCTGGTGGCAGCCCCCAGCCCCACTGACCAGGAGGTGGCGGGGGCTCCGCGGCAGGTCCCGACAGGGGTGGCCTCGACGGAATGCTGGACTCCAACGCTCCGCGGCCCCACCCTCAATAGCCCACACCTTTCCTCGGCCCCAGACCTGGCACCAAGACCTTGAGCCTCAACTCCCTTTGCTCGGCCCGCACTGCCTTGGCCCGCTCCTCGGCGGTCACGCTGGAGACGGCCGCCTCGCCCGGTGCTGTGAGATGACGTGCGAATTGCCACGGACCGTCCACGTGGGAAGTCTCCACGGCCTGGAACCTGCACACCAGCATCTCCGCCGCTTTGAGGTTGTCGCCCCGCAATACTTGGTCCACTGCTGGCGCCAACGTCCTCAGCTCGCCGCGATTTGTCGAGAGAACTGTCGCGCCCCGCGCCGGAGAAGAAGACGCTGGTCAAATAGGCCTCGAAGATGGGGAACAAGCCCGAATCGTCGCTGTCGACCCCCTCCCTCTGCATGAGGTACGTGCGCATCTTGTCCAGCGCCTGCTTCAGGATCTCGCCTGGTCGCTCCCGCATACGAAGCTGCAGGCGCTCGTGTGAGGCCCCGGCTCCGCGAAAATGCGAACGTGAGGACGCGCTGGAAGACAGACCCGACAAAGAGCTGGGGCTACGCCGCCGCCAGCGATGCTTCCTTCGTTTCCTCCTCTCCTTCTCCTCGTCCTGCTTGTCCTGGAGGCGCTGGTGGACCTCCTCCACGGCGTCCTTCAGACTTCTTGGGGGTGAGAAGCTCACAGCACCTCGCCTGTGGGCCGCCTCATCCTCATCAAGCTCGTCCTCCTCCGATTTCCTCCCTTTCGCAGGCTGGTCGCCACCAGCAGGCGGCGCCTCCCTAGAGAGCCTCGCCTTCAAGGTCTCCAGCCTCTTCTTCAGCTCAGCTCTGCCCCTTGAAATTGAGAGACCGATCGAACCCAAGCCGGCCACGTGATCATCAGCATCGGCCGCATCCTCCTCATTCTCCTCGGCAGTCACCCCCAAGGAGGCCAGAGGCGCACTGAAAGGGCTCTCCGTGCTGCTCTTGATATCGCGCAACCGCCATCGATGCGCGTGCAAAGCTGGCTGGCGACCCTTCGCCCCCCTTGCAGGAGGAAGAATCACAGAGGTGCAGAATGGGCGCTTGAGCTCCAGGCGCTCCTGGCGGTCCGCGCTGCCGCACCACCACGCGTCATAGTATCGGCCGCCTTCCTCACCAGGGCGCGCCTTCAGCAACATGAGAAGTGAGGTGCTCGTATCTCCGCGAAGCGCAACCCCAAGAATCGAACCAGGTTCGAGCTCGAAATCCTGATCCTTATACCATTTGTTCGGCGAAGGCCCTGACGCCTCCTCGTGCTCCTGCTCGCCCTCGCCGCGAGCCGGCTTCCCGGGAAGCCTGCTTCCGCTCCGCGAGCGCGCAGATCGCCCACAGCCCAGAGTCCCGACCGGCCGCCCGGCGACGCCTCGCCTCCGCGGCCTGCAACTGTGGGGCGCCTCCGCGCCTTTCGGGCCATTCGCGCGTGGCAGGGAGGAGGGGCAAGGTGAGCAAATAGGGGGACCGACGGCAGTAAGAGCGGTGCCGGTCCCCCAGGGAGCCAGCTGCTTCAGCCAGATGTGCTGTGCACTGCTCTGGTCGTGACTCTTTGCTACCCCGGGCGCACAGGTATTCATGGGCTCCTCAGAACGTGGCAATGCCTCGCGGGCCAAACGCATACACGATCAGCTCTACTCGCCACGTGGCAACGCCTGAGGGGGGGGGGCAGAGGACGAAACCACACGTTCCATGACTTTGGCCGCGTGGCAACGCTGCGCAGCGGGAACCGATACTTGTGGTATTCGCGTCTCCCGCAGCGCGTTCTGTCCTAACTCCTTGTCCATGCAACCATATCCTGCCCCCTCCCAATGCTCCTGCCGTCTCCTCCTCCTCCTCCTCCTGCCACCTACTACCTCGCCACACCGCCTTCGAGATCCCCACGGCACCGCATCACGCGCTGCGGCAAACGACATCCACAAACGGACTTCTTAACGAACCTTCACAATATGCAAACAGGACTCTCTCCGCCATGTTCGCCAGCGCCACCGCTGAAAGTGCTGCCGCAGGCACCGCTGTCGTCGTCGCCACCACCGCCACCGCTGTCGCGGCGCAGACGCCGTCTTCGTCCGACCTGCTCGTCCCTGCCACCCTCCCCTTTGCCCTCGTAGCTGTTCTGCCTCCGTCTGCCTCGTCCTACCTCCTTTTGCGTCCACCAGCCTCCTCTAGCTGCACTCTGGCTCGTCATACCCCCTCGTTCCTGTTATCATATCCTGCCCACTCCCACTCGTCCTGCCTCCTCCTGCCGCCTTCTACCTCGTCCTACCTCCTTGGAGATCTCATCCTGAGCTTAACTAGTTAGGCCCCGTCCCAGCTCGTCGGGTTTCGCCCTCCAGGGTGTTCGGGTTTGGCCCCTCCAACGTTTTCGGGCGTGGACCATTCCACGGTTTCTGGCTTGGCCCTGCCGGTTGTCTGGTTTCGGTGTATTTTCTGGGTTAAACCTTCCTCGCCCTCATCTTCATCCTGATCCGCAGAAGTCAGGAGGGAAGGGGGAAGAGGAGGAGAAGAATCTGATGAGGACGGGGATGAGGAGGACGAGATAAGAAACTGAGAGAAGTGGGAGAGCTGAGAGAAGAGACATGCGATGCATGAAAGCTGATATATACATCTAGTGCATATATATATATATATATGAGACAGATGCAATATGAGAGGATGCGAGCTTGACAGCGTGCGTGTATGTGTGTGTGAATGTGTGTGTACGTGCGTGTGTGCGTGCGTGCGTGCGTGCGTGCGTGCGTGCGTGGTTGCGTGCGTGCGTGCGTGCGTGCGTGGGTGCGTGTGCATGTGTGTGGGGTGTGTGTGGTCTGTTCTGTCTGGTTTTGCAATAGTGATGATGTTGCTGGGGGCAGCGTTGATTCTTGGTTGTCCAAGTGATGACTTTGTGAGGGGAGGCGTGCTTAGTTTTGCATGCGTGATGATCTGTTTTTTGGGGGGAGCAGTGTTGCTTGATGCTGCAAGCTCGATGATTTGGGAAGGGGGGGTCGATGTTGCGTGGTGTCGCGTTCTGGAGTGTTTTGTGAGGGGATCAAAACCATCAAAGCTGCGAAAACGCTGTTCAACAGGAGCGCCCCCATCTTTGTGATAGACAAAGCACAATATTCTTGGATGAACCTCGAACCACCCTTGTCTTCCTGGGGGCCCCTCCTGGTCCGAGATGGGAGCGCTGGAGGACGCGGCCTGGGATCCTTCTTATGTGAGCGGGATGTGTCGGTGAAGCACACAGGGAGCGGGGCGAGTAGGGGGGCCTGCAAGGAAGCCAGGGGGGCGTATCAGAAGAGATCGGAGGCTCTCAAGAAAGCTGTTTGAAGAAGGCAGGACGGTCTCTGAGGAGCCCCCTGCACCGCCCATATCCAACCAACCAAAAAACCCGTCAAAACGGGTCCCCAGAGACCTTTCGGAGTCCGTCCTAGACAAGTTGTGGAGCCGCGTCCAGCCGTGGCCAAGAGAGTTTTGAGGACCGAGCGACAACACTCCAAACGACGTCGTCGTCGACAGAGTAGGCCCTGCTTTTGATCAGATCTGGCCTTCCTGTAGCGGACAAAGGCTTGCCGCCACGAGCGGAGCCACGCGAAGGCCGTCGTACGAGAACTCGCCCGGCGAGGCGCTGGACACCGATGGCCTCGCTGAAGGCGCGCGCGCGCTGATCGGGCAGACGGGCCAACAAAAACATACGCCGTCCTTCATACTACGCCGCCGACCTCCGCCTCTTCCGTGCTTCCCCACGTCTCTGCGCGCCTCAACCCGTTCATCGAACGGATCGACGGCCCTGGAGCCGTCTGGGCATCTTGACGGATGCTCTTGAAGCCGCGAGGAGCTCCTGAAGATACCTGGGGAAACATCGGGCCAGGGGCACCTTTGGCAGCACCAGCTCCCTCCTCCTCCTCCTCCTCCTCCTCCTCCTCCTCCTCCTCCTCCTCCTCCTCCTCATGAACTCCCATCCTTCTGAACGGCAGCGCGCGCCCACAATCCGTTCGTCGAGCCGAGCCACATGTGGGCAGGAAGGACCACACGTAACCGGCACCCATGGGAGAAGTCCCCACTAAGCCGCCCACCGCAGCTCCGACTGGCCATGGGAGGAGGGCACGGGGCAAGGCCAGGGGGAGTGGACCAGGGCCAAGGAGGCACGGGAGAGCTGGGGGAAGGAGGGGGGCTCGCCAAGGGCCCCGAGCTATGAGGCCAGGGTGGGAGGAGGCCAGAGTGACACCGGGAAGCCTCGAGAAGGCAGGGAGGGGGCGGGGGGGGGACGAGCCACGGACGATGAGCTTGCAAAGAACAGGCTCTGGGAACGGGGCCAGGAGGGACCAGAAAGCCCCGAGACGGCCAAGAAAAGGGGGAGGACGAACCACGAATGACGACCACGAAAACAAGAGGCACGCATGCCCTGGCTCTTGCACGAGGTCGTGGCAAGACAGGAGGAACAAGGTGAGGATGGGGATCTCACTGGGCCATGCTGGGACCTTCCCCACCCCAGGGAGAAACGAGCACGAACATAATAAGAGGGCCAGCGCGGAGACCGATAACGGATCAGGGGGACAGGGGAGGGGCCAGGAATCAGGGGGGGCCGAGGACGAAGGACGACGAATGAGAAAAAATAAGGCGGTCCGAGCTCTAGAGCACAGCTGCACACGAGAACAATAGGCTGAGGGCCCAGTGGGGGGGCTGCGGACAGAGGCCAGGCAAGGCGGCCCCTTCGAGAGGCAAGAAGCCGTGCCAGGGGGCGTCCAAGGATGTCCCACGGGGCAGGCCAGGGGTCGCGCCGCGGAACCGGCAGGGGAAACGCCAGAGGACGAGCCATGGGACGCGCCAGTGGACGCGCAAGTGGACGTACCAGGGGACGTGGCAGTAGACGCGCCAGGGGACACGCCGAGGAACGTGCCAAGGGACGTGCCATGGGATGCGCCAAGGAACGTGTCAGGGGACGCGTCGCAGACGTGCAAGGGGACGCGCAAGCCAGGGGACGAGTCATAAGCCGCGCCAGGGGACGAGCCCCAGAACGTGACCGACACTGCTCGGTAAGCCTTCCCCGCTGGATTCGCGCTCCCAGAGCGACGATCCCTTTTAGGGGGAAACAAACCTACCTCGCTTTTGACCACCCTCGCTTCCAAGAGATACCAAGCGATGCCAAACTGCGGCCTGTACTGGTCAGGCCGCTTGACGAGGAGGCGCGTGGTATGACTTGGTTTTGCCTGGAAGCGAAAGCGGGGTAGGTCATTCACGCTCTGAAGAGCGACGATCCCTTGTAAATTACGCTAGTGCACGATCCCTCGTGAATTACGCTGGTTCCGCGCTCCCAGCGCCGCACCCCGTAGCAGTTTACGCCGGATTTGCGCTTCCAGGGTCGCTCCCCCGTACATGACGCTGCGACCCCGCTCCGAGGGCCACGGCCCCTCGTAGACTACACTGCGTCTGCGCTCCCGGGCCACGATCCTTCGCAATCTACACCCTGCGAAATGCTTAAGAAATCATGGGTTAAGAAATTCATAGTCTCAGAACTTGGATAAAAACCCAACGGTTCTACTAAAATGTTAGGATTCGCATCGAAACATTAAGAATAATCGAGACTCTGGCCGAAAACTTAGGTTTTCTTAAGCATCGCCTAAGGTGTGTTCTGCGTCCGCGCTGTCAGGACCAGAGTCCATCCAAATGTACGCTGCGCCTGCGCACTCAGGGCCACGGTCCCTGCTCAATCAAGCTGCGCCCGCGCTCCCGGGGCCACGATCCTCGCGAATTCACAGGGTCCCCGCTCCACCAGCATCCAGAGGCGCCCAGGACCTTCCTGGGCCATCTTGGGCCTCCGGCGCGTTGTTTGTAGAACATTCTGAAAAGGGGGCGTTCAATCCTCGAGCGGGCACGCAAAAACTATCTGGTATACCTTACACGAGATGTTCTGCAATGTTCGGCGCACCCCTCAATATGAATCTGCGCACGGAAAACGAAGACCTGCATACAATGTTATTGATTGAGGGAGCGGCATAGGGGGGAGCATTCCCTCGAGCGGGCACGCGCGACACGCGTTGATTCTTCCAAAACTGGCCCCGTACCCCATTGTTCAAAAGCGGGATGCCTGCCGGGCCTGCCCAATCGAGGGGCCAGAACAACACGACCAAAAACCAACCATGGGCCTCCGCCCTTTCTGGAAAACCAAACAGAACCTGAGAACCATCAAAACTCGTTCCACACACTTCCTCACTCCTCCAATCCATCAGCGGGGGGGGGAGAGGGCACGCCTGGAGTTTGCCGGCGCGGGGAAGCTGATGACCACGTCCTCGAGCACTATGTTCGTGTCCTGGCACCGCCAGTAAGTGGATGGTCCTAATGCTACAAATCCCACCAGCCCTTTAGAGCGTGAGCGATTTAGAGAGTTCCTGCGTCCCATCCCCCGCCTTTCCCTTGGGGGAGAGGCTTACCCCTCCCCCTACACCCTCAACCTGGCACCTGGACGGGGGTGGGTCGCGAGGCGTTGGAGTGTCCAAGACGTCCTCGGCGAGAGGGAAACAATGTTTGGGGGGCCATTTTGGTCTCCTGGGGGAGACTCTAATTTACCCTCCCTTGTTTGATCGATCTCCTCCAAGATGGCCCCAAGATTCAGGAGGGAAAAAAACACACAGTCACAATTAATCGTCGATTTCCCAGAAAATATGGGAAAATATGGGAAGTGGTGGGGAAGACAAAAACCCAGAACATATAAGAAAATATGGGGAATCTTTTTATTTGTGTGTATTTATTTGTGTGTCCCAGTTTCCCTTCAAAGATGGCGTCCGAGGCGCGCGCCCCAGAATGCCCCAAAAAGGTCCGAAGAACCAGGAGGCTCCAAGAGGTTCCCAAGAGGTGCACAAGAGTCTCCCAAGCGACCTCCAAAAATGAAGGGGCCCTGGGACACACAAATAAATACACACAAATAAAAAGATTCCCCATATTTTCCTATATTTTCTGGGTTTCTGTCTTCCCCCCCACTTCCCATATTATCCTATATTCTCCTGGGAATCGACGATTAATTGTGTCTGTGTGTTTTTTCCCCTCCTGAAAAAAAGCCTCTCCCGCAAGAGGCCCCCCTAACCGCCACGAGGCTCGCAAGACGCCCAAAAGGGGACGCCAAGAAACTATCATACACATCCGAAGAGACGTTGAGAGGCATCCAGAAAACCTTTGGCCATTCTGCTGGCTCTCCTCCTGCTCCTCCTCCACCACTTGGTGCTCCTGCCAAAAGGCCCAGGCGCGCGGGCCCAACATGCAATCCTCTACGAAAGTGCACCGACCGACCGACTTACCTACCAACTTACCTACCAACCTGCTTTATCCCTACTCCCAGTGTTCCCCGTTTTCCCCTCCCCCTCCCCCTTCCCATCCTCCTCCTCGTCCTCCTCATCCTCCTCCTCCTTCTGTTCTTCCGCCATCCTCCCATTTTGGGATATGATGGCTCCCCCCCCGCCCCCCAGCCCGTTATTCCACGGCGTGTCCCTCCGGATCCCTGATCAGGGCAACTCGCCTGGGCATCGCTGCTGGATGAAATGGCGCAATTACTTTTTTGATCGCAAGCGCACCGGAAGCGCCTGGCGCCGTCCGAAAGTCGCAACTAGCGAGCCACGGCCCAAATTGCGCCAGCAGGAGGGAAGAAGAGGAAGACAACGAGAGGACAGCGGAGGGAGGAACGAACAGGAGGCGGCCCCCCACCGAAACCGCCACGAACAGTCACCCAAGACGATGTTGTCATCTCGCATTTGGTAATGAATGTCAGAACGTGGAAGAATCGGCAGCAGGTTCTCTGCAGTGCCTCAGCTATATTGCCGATGTGGCCCGCCATATCGGATGTGCGTGGAGCCGTCGGCGGTTGCGGTGGCAGTTTGACATTCACACGAGGTTGGGCGGAGAAAATTTAGGATGTGAGCCCGTGCCCCATGACATGTGGGGGCATGGGGTTGTCGGCGTAACTGCGCGCATCGCGTACGATCGTGGGGCCCGCGGTTTGTCCAATGAATGCGCTGCCAACCTTTTCCCATGGCATCTTCGAAATATTCCACATGCTGCTGGCGAATTGGTTGCAAATATCTCTCGGCGGACATGTCAACCCGTCGTCGCCAACAGGAAGCGCGTCATGGAAGAGGTAATCCGGGCACTGCCGAATGGTGTCGTCGATGGCCGAATCCTCCAGGTACAAGCCCTCGAAGGAACGCCACGCAAACATGAAGGCGATCCATGGTGCCGCTGTGGAAAGCGATGGGTTGGGAGGACGATTGCCGCTCAGCAACTCAATGGTCTCATACGCCGCATGATCTGTAGTGGTGATGGGACCCTGCTTACTGGAACGGAACGTATACTGTCCGTTCCCATCGGGGCGCTTCTCGAGGTGCAAGAGAGAGCTCATCGGGGAGTCTGCCTGACTGCGGCGGCGGGCAATCTGCGGCTGAGCGCAGGCCCACTGCGGATGTTCCCATCGGCGCCAACAGGAGACACGCCTCCAATCCGCATTCCCTGCAGCTCAATCGGAGCGTTCGCCATGCTGGGCCGAACTGGAGCGGCGGCGTTGCCTCTGCCACCAAGAGGTCGGGAGGGAGGCGCGCGCGCGATTGTCTGTGATCCTGATGACGGCTGCGGCAGGGCGCGCATCTGACAACGCATGCACGCGTGCGAATGATGGTCGCGACAGAGAAATTGTTGGGGTCAAGAACAGCGAGACTGGCGTTCTTGGCGGTCTCCAGCGTCTTCGCGGTCTTCGCGGCAGCGGGAAAAGATGAGCGACAGCACTAGTAGATATTGCCATGGGTGGGCCGTCTTGGGCTCAAAATGTTTGGTCATCACGTCAGCAACCTGTTCTTTTGTGCCTGCGAATTCAAGATGTATGCGTTCCTGCTGATATGTATCGGTGATCCAGTCCACTTTAATGCGATGTGATCGATGTATGAAACGGAGTGTTGGTGTCCGTCCTTTTTGGACGATCGCAATCCCTGCCTCGCTGTCCGCAGCCACAATGAGGTGTACCACTGGAGGTGGTGCCTTGGTGGGTGGGGGACGTAGAGCATGAAGCATGATGTCATCGTCCATGATGTTGGATGATGCTGTACGGGATGGCGGGATAGCTCTGGCCGGTGTCCTGGCGCCTGGAGAAGAAGCTCGCGCGGGCGGAGCCTATCTCTGCGGGGTTTTGCGGCGCTGCCTCTCGGCGGCCAGTGACGAACCGCGGGCCCCGCGGGCCATCCATGTCTTGCACCGCTGCCTCCCAGAATGAGGGGGGGGGTAGCCTTCTGCGCGCAAGGCAGCGTCGAGGGCCACAATCTCGGACTCCGTGGATGAATGTGGGACACCACAGTCTGCTTCTAGCATGCGGAACTGAGCGAGAAAAATTGGTCGGGGCCCACCAGCGCAACGAATACGCCAGCGGTCGGCCTCGAGCTGTCGGCGCAGTCCGCGAGGCAAGCGTCAGTGAAGAGCGCGATCGAAGTGTGATCCGACCTGTCACCAGTCCATCCGTGAAAGCAGTGTGAGCGTGTAAATTTCAAGTAACATACCAATCGATGTATTCGTTTGTCGCAAGCATAGCTCCACTGGGTGATCTCCCGTGGGAGCATACAGACTGGGCGCGCGCGGTCAAACCTGCAACATCTTGCCTCGCATAAGGCCAGCATGATAACACTGGCCGCATCAGGGCAAAGGGCGCCCTCGCCAGTGCAATCCCTACCCGATAATGAAATATATTGAATGCTGGGGGCGCCAGCATGTGGGACATCGTCGCAGGTTATGCGCACGGAGTCATGTGTGTTATTTTTTCCAACCGGCACACAACATCTGATGCGGTTTTGTCAACAGGCGCACGAGATCGAGGCTGGGATGTACGTGGCTTGGGCGATGGGGATCATTTCTTACGTGAGCCAGGCATCCCAACTGTCTTGGAAAAAGCATCCCAAATCCCGCGTAATGCACTGGTCGGTATAAAAAGGCAAGTCGGGTCGCATCCCACGATCGTTGGATGCTGATGCGCGCTGTCTTGGGCCATGCTCTGGGAGCACGGGTCGGATCGTTGCCGCGCGTTTCGCGAATGCGCTATGTGGCACCTGCCAGTATCCTGACCACATCCCAAGTAGTGGTCGCATTGTGTAGGTGGGTATGCCTCGATTCCGCTATGTCGTATAAGATCCCATCATGATTCAAGGTTGGCTGTGGGTGCTGTCATTTTGAAGTCGCCAACGTATACTGACAGAATGAGATTCAACTTGGCATGCCCATGCGCATTCCCAGCCAGGGACGGAGCGGAATCCCACCGATTCTAATCACGCCCGACAGCGACGCTCCCAAAAGACGCCTGCTAGTGGGTGGCCATAGAGAGCGAGTCGTAGTCGGCAGACAGGATTCTCGCATTTAGCCCGAGATGTAGGCTGTCCCCACTTGGGTAAAGCAATCCATGTATCCAAAAAGTCGATCCGACCGTCTCCGCAGTGTTGAGCCGAATCGATGCTCCTGGGGCATCACTCTGCTCACCTCCGCTGCCAGGTAACTGCGCAATGGCGTCGCATAGCTCGGAGGCCTCGATGCGGGAGGCGCTGGATGCAGCGTCGGAGTCGGCGGAAACGGCGGCCGGGCCACTCTGGTCTTTCATGCTGCCGCCTGGAACCACAAGGCGCCCTTTATACTTTTGAAATTCTGGTGGTTACTCAGCACGTTTGACAAGATGGTCCAATATGTTGGCGACATGAACCGTTTTGGATTCAGCCTGTGTGTTGCGGACAACAACGTCACGTTCCTTAACAGTATCGAGCATCCACGGTTACTTCTGTTCCTATCGATCGTACTCTTTGCGACGCGGGCATTGCGCACGCCTCTCAGCCCCAACTTCCTAATGATATTGCGTGTGACGAGATTGCGGGCAACGGTGCGAGGCCGCCCCCAGTGGGTGGAGTCGAGTTTGCTCCCACTTTTCTGATGGTGGTCGAGTGCAGGCGGCATCATGGGCACCGCGCTGTACTTATCCAGCAGCAAGTGCGAGCGTGCGACTCCTGCGGAGTTTGCATCCGGCTGTGAGCGGTAGTATAAGACAGCGGTGATGTCACGTGGTCCATCAGGGAGAGGAGCGTGAGTAGCGCGGTTACTGGTGACGCCCGTCACGTTCTCGTCGCGAATGACGGCGTCGTTGTGTAGGTCGTAAGTGATGCGTCGCTCCACAGTGGTCCAGGGGAGGCCGTCGCCGTTGGTGGTCAGGAAGTGGTGGGCATTCTGGTCGGTTCGTGTCCAGACGCGAAGGGCGGAATTGTGACGTGTCTCTCGCGCGCGGAACACATCTTTGGCGAACTATTTCTC